AATTTGGGGCTTTGTCTTAAATAAGTGCCTATTACTAGCCATCTTCTGTCCTGATTTTTCAAGCTTACTATCTGGTCACCCTATCTGCAACTCTCACTTCCATTCTACCCCACCAACCCCCTCACTTTTCCCATCCTCTAGATCACCAATTAATTATGCATTCCCACCCCCACATCACTTCTGTTCCTGCCATGTTCCCACAAGAAGTGGGAGCTCCTTGCACCGTCCATACACCCGCACAACAGCCATTCACAATCTGATCCCGGGCCTGTCAAATTGCCATCAAACAAATACACGCTGTAAATTATAAATGAAAGTAATAACATTTGATTAGATAACACCCTCTTGAGTGTTGGTGTCATGCAAGAGATGAGCGTGCTGCTGGGGCAAAGCAGACGTCTCTGGGTCCCATTTACATAGTTAATGCTGCCTCTGTAGGGTCTCTGAAGTGCTGTGTTTGCCACATTTCTTGAAACAGTCCCTGGAACCATGCTAGATGTGCTGTGATTGAGGCAAACTCCATATATGCTTCTTCTAAGGCCTTATTAACTCTCACACCTGGTGGAGCTCAATGCTATTCCTCAACTGCCCTCAACACCAGGCTGCTCCCAGAAGCCGAGACACACTTCCTCTGTGCCCTTTGCCTCCCAATTTCCATCTTCTCCACCACCAAATCTTTCCCTGTTGATGCTCTCCCTTAGCCCAATGGCCAGAGCAACAGAGGCTACGGTTTGTTACTAATAATAGTCACTACATGGTCCTCTACTGGCCAAAGACCAGTTCACAGGAGGCTCTTTGGGTCATTCTGGTTCACCATGTCCATTTGTCAATGTTCTATACTCTCCCCTCCACTAATACACGTGGTCAGTAGATGGTCTCTTTTTTGGGCAGAGGGGGGGGTGAAGTCTGTACTTTTGGTATTCTCCAGAACTAGGAGTACAGTGTCCACCAGCATTTGAGAAGGAGCTTTGCTTGGCTAAGCTCTGATGATCTTAGCAGCCAAAGTCTCGGATTTGCTCTTTTATTTAGGGCACTGTGTTACAGCATAATCAGTGCAGACTGGCTAATTATACTCAACGTGGGTTCCTCTTGTAAGTAAAAATGCATGACCTTTTTATCCAGATAAGATGACCACAGGTTAACTTGAGCTGATACAGTGTTTCTTTCATGTGATTGGACTTGCAGGTATTTGGACTAATATTTTTACTCGGAATTTGCTGGATAGCTTATATTGGTCCTCAAATCCAGATGAATTCTGGGATCGCTGGGCCAAAGACATGGTAGAGATGGGTAAGAGTTTTATAGTATGTTAAAATCAACATGTATTCTTGCTGTGACTGAGTGCATAGTTCCCATTAGCAAGGAGAGGATTTGGAGAAGATACATTTTTTGCTCATGAGACCCTCACCAATTTTCTAAACACCAGTGCATTACCTGTGTGCTTTCATTTCATTGTGGCTGCTAGCAGATCCCCCACTATGATTTTCACTTATATCCTATTTACTCGGATAGCATTGTGAAAGTATGTTAGTCTTCCCCTTGTGACAGAAATGGGTTCATTCTACACTGTGGGTTTGTTGACCCTGATTCCAGTGTATTAATCTTTTGTCTGCCACTTCCTCAGCTGACCAATATCAGGTTGCCATTGTTTCATGTTCAGTAAAGGCTCTGGCTCCATAGCACTAGCCTTGCTTTGTTTTTGTGTCTTTCAAACAACTGAAATGAAAACAATTGTTGAAATCAAATAGGACTGAGAACCATAAAGGGCTAGTATCATCCTAATAGCCAAAAAACAATGTATCGCTCACCTTTCCACTCACCAGTGACCCATCCAATCTCCGACTGTTGAATTAAGCCATATTTAAGTTCTAATTAAACTATTTTGATTCATTTTAATTTTGCTCTTGAACTGCTAGTTCACGTGAAGCCTGTGCAAATGTTGAGCCCACTGGTGATGTCAGGCTGTCAGCAGGGCTGTGAAGTAAGGATTTCATTTGAAAGATTAGAAGCTGGAAATTGTTCTTTAAATAAAAAATGATCAAATATGGTCAATCGTTTCATTAAAGAGTCTCTGTGTGTGTGTGAGAGAGAAAGTGAGGTGTGCAGACAAAGAAACAAGAAGAGCATTGAACCACAGAGCAGATAGAGAAAGTGGTTAGACCAAGAAAGGACAACTCCATATTCTATGTTAAAATGATCTCTTACTCTTTTTTTTTCTATCTCCCAGCTAGAAAAGATAATGCTTCTGATGACTTTTCTATTGCCATTGAGTCTCCAACTTCCACATCAGGGAAACTTTGTGAAATCTTTAATGACATGCTGACCACCCGTCCGCTCTTGGACAAGACTCATAACTTCCTGAGAGGCCTAGCATTTCACAAGGACTATTTCCAGCACAGAGGGTTTCTTGAATGGAAAGGTAATTGTAACTAAACCTTAGCTACACTTTTGGGCTACGTCTAGACTACATCCCTTTTTCGTAAAAGGGATGTAAATTAGACGTATCACAATTGCTAATGAAGCGAGGATTTAAATCTCCCCCACTTCATTAGCATAAAAATGGCTGCCGCTTTTTTTCCGCACGGAGCTTTGCCGGAGAAAAGCGCCATTCTAGACGCTGATCTTGCAGAAAATAAAGCCTTTTCCAAAAGATCCCTTATCCCTTATTTCAATCCCCGCTTCATTAGCAATTGCGATGCGTCTAATTTACATCCCTTTTACGAAAAAGGGATGTAGTCTAGACGTAGCCCAAAAGTGTAGCTAAGGTTTAGTTACAATTACCTTTCCATTCAAGAAACCCTCTGTGCTGGAAATAGTCCGGTATCCTCTCATGTCAAGGAATAAGACTAATGGCAATAACCATAGGCGTGCACAGCGCATTTCATTAGGGTCCGCACCCGAAGAATTTTTTAAAAATGTACTTTGACCCCCATTAGCCATGCCCCTGACCCCTGTTAACCACACCCCTGTCCCCCATTGGCCACACCCCAACTTCCATTGGCCACACCTCTAGAGGTAACCCTCTCGGGGCAAGATGGACACATGACCAGAAGTAAAAGGTGTCATGTGACTCCCCTCTAAGGACTTTTTCCATTATCCTCCTACCAATAGGAATTAGTTCGGCCCCCACCAAACCCCCCTTATGCAACTATCCTGCAGTTGCATTAACTCAATGTGTGTGACATTAACTCAGGGGCAGAGGCTGTGTGAAGTGTTCCCTCTAAGAGTTTCCTCCCATGAGCAGAATGAATTGTGTTGTGCACTAATACTGAGTTCATGTAGCCACTGTTATTAATAAATATCTTAGGGTATGTCTACACTACAACCCTAGTTCGAACTAGGGTGGTAATATAGGCAACCAGAGTTGCAAATGAAGCCAGGGATTTGAATTTCCCGGGCTTCATTTGCCTAAAGCCGGGCGCCCCCATTTTTAAATGTCCGCTAGTGCGGACTCCGTGCCGCGCGGCTACACGCAGCACGGACTAGGTAGTTCGGACTAGGTTTCCTAGTCCGAACTACCGTTACTCCTC